CCGCTGGCAAGCGCACGCAATCCCGGCCCACGTTGCAGGTACTCCTGCAAGGTGAGCACTGACACACTGCCTGGTACTGGGACAGGAATAATACTGCTGCCTACTCGTCCTTCCATGAGGGATGAAAGGAAAACGAAGGACAGAGACCAGCAGCCTTCATCAGAGATAACTTGCAAGGGGTACTTATCAGTTTGTCCATTGAAAGCCAGCTGCAGCTTCCAGTGGCAGGATGACTGCTAAAGATGAAGGATGCACATGGGAGATGCAAAGAGTGGTCCTCAGTTCAGTGTAAGATTTACACTCATTTTAAAGGGCAACTGTCAAGTTTCTGAGAGGTCAACCATCATTTGAGTTGGCTTTGCCTGTCACCAAGTTTGCCACCTGAAGAAGAGACCATGACACTACCTCACATTTGGCATCCCTGGCTCTGTGACAGAGACAGCACCTACAGCCCTCACACGGGTTGCACTTCCACAGCAAAGCCAAGCACAGAGGTGTCCAGGACGACAGGTACCTGAAGAAGCTTGGCACATTTTAACTGCAGAGGCAGATCAAGGTGGATCTCCATCACCTGATTTTGGACATCCAGAGCATATGTGACTGTCCAGGGCCTTCTCTGTGTAGACTAAGCAGGAAACATGGAAGGTGGTCAGTCTGTCCCACTGGTTTTGTGGGCATCACTGCTGTCTCTGTTTAACTCCAGACTCACAGTCATGGATGCTCAGGGCCAGGCTGCAGCAGCTCTAAGGCAGCCCTGGAAACAGCACTCTACCATGGGACGACTGTCGCTTACCCTTAAGCAGAGATAACGCAGATAATTACGCATTGTGTGCACCCAGTCATCCCAGTACTGCTTCCACCCCTGTGGAGATCTACACACCAATGGTCTTACTCACACGCTACCCTTGTACCTTAGCCACTCTGCTTTCCACTACTTGTGTGGGAGCTGAGGTCCCTAAGCCACAGAAGAAGCAGAAATCCATTACTGCTTCCAGCCACTAACATTTTCCCCATCTGCAGACTCAGCGACCCTTCTGTTCAACCCACACGCTGATGGCCAGGCAAATGTGACAGGAAAACATAATGTCAGCAGCTCCTGGAGCTGTCCAGGGAGTCTGGAGGTCCAAGGCCTACATGAGCATTACAATGACTGCAAGGAGACCAGTGCCAAGGCTCCTGCAGCAAAGGCAGGGTCTGGGCTTGGCCTCACCCCCACCACATCAGCACGTGGCTGGCACAGCAGCACACTCCTCAGGAGTGAGTGAGAGCTCTCTCCCACCACTGCTTTTCTGCTGTGTAGTCACCAAGCCCATGACAGCCAGGATACAAACCACACAAGGACTGTCACTCAGGCTTCAGCCATTCAGCAGGGAACCTCTTCCAGACTGGCATAACACCAGCGACAGGCAGTCTTCCCAGCAGCACTGAGTTCTGCTTACACTCCTGCCCTGGGAGGGGAAGGCAGTAAAGTGCTCATTCCGCTTGTTATGATGCCACCTAGCTATGACTAACCTATGCCTTACTATTAGGTGTTGTGCCTGCCCCGGAAACAAATAAATCCTTATACAGATCCATGAAGACATACCAGTTCCTTCCAGTGCCACTTTTGTGCACAGCATGGCTGACTCACAGGCTACAAGATGTTTAGCTCATTGTCCTGGCAAGTAAGATGCAAGTTATACCTGGCCAGGACGGAAGACACAAACTCATGCTGCAGTGGGCTGAGCAGGTGAGGGAAAACACCTGTCCCAAAAGAGGAGTCTTGGGAACTGACTTTCTTCATCAGCTGTGACCCTGACCCCAACATGACGAGTGTGATTGTCAGTAAAGCAGTGTGTGAGGGTGCCAGGTCTGTCCTGCCTCAGACCTTTGCCACCCATACAGCTCAAGTCGCCCGACAGGGTCAGCCCTCAGCACACACCCGTCCCTGCCCGTGCCCCGCGGTGCGTGGCAGGGATCCTCCATCA